CCTCCCCAGTGTTCCAACCAGAAGCCATAGAGATGGAAAACTTGACAGGTTGCACACAATACTTACTCTCAGTTTTGCTAACAACTGCCTGCTCACCTGATATAATATACCCCTACACTAACAACAAAACAGGCCGTGACTCATCTGTTTTTCCTGTTACTCGGATAGAGTTACCCCCTTTTAGTGTACATCTATATGGTTACTCTAGATGTATTGCGATGTGGTGGTGGCTTTGGGCAATATCTGCATTAACTCTTTAACGACGAAGCGGACGCATGTGTCCGACCAGCAGTTAAATCTAGTAACAGACCAAAGTCGACGTTGCGGCACATTTCGAACCATCACCACACAAACCATATACATCAACTTGCATATTGTCATAGCATGCACATATTGTTGCCTACCTCATTAAAGTTTCAGGCAACAAAAACACAGAAGGGGAAAATCTGCACGAAAAACGAATTTATGCCTCTATATTTTAAAAGTATGTACTCCGAAACAGCGCGTCTTCAATGAGTTAATACTCCAAGAACTTTCTTTTAGTTTTAGCAATAAGGTTTTAAAACGCTCTCAACTGCTTAAGGTCGTAAGAGTATAAGCGCCAAGGGGTGGATGTCAACAGAGAAGCCCAAACAGGGAATCATGCTTACTCTGCTCACCTCTCTAGCTTCAACAGCACAAAGTCTGTTTCCACTATCAAGGCTACCCGGATATAGCGGGTCACAAGAGAGTGACAAACATACAAAAGAAGTAGAGGGAAAATGATGATAGTAAGGATGAGGAAAGAAAAAGCAGCAGTTCCCCCTATGTTGTTCCGGCACAGTATGAGCATGACATTGATAAATCAGCCCATTTACAATTCTATTGTGCATAAGAACATGTTAATATCCCCCCTTTGGGGAACGGCCTAAAGACAACTTCAGTCAGTAGCCCTCCCCTGGGGGGGGGACATTCTAAGTACACGATTTAGACAAATCAACAGGGAATTTAGCGCTTGGAGTGTGATAAAAGAAGGAAATTCAAGGAAAGGAATGAGAAAAAAAAATGTCTCCCTACTCGGAATGGATCATGTGCAATTTGCCTGCGTGAGAGGACTCCCCTTCCGAGAACCAAACTGTATTTTCTCTGTGACTGTGCATTTTCCGAATTCTGAACCAACGTCTCATTTCTCTGTGTAGATTCCTCTCTCTTCTGGCATTGCAGCACTCTCTTCTGTCTATCTCTCTTTAAGTATGCTGAATTTTTATTAAAACTGAACGTGTAATGATGTATGAATGATTGTTATATTTAGTGCGATGTTCAAATCTTGGATTAAACGAGACAAGGAATGATTGGTGTTGGATGTTTCTTTCAGGGGGCTGTACATAGCACTCCTTCGAGTCGGCCTTTCCACTTTCCGCTATAAGCTGTTTTTGTTGTGCATGGGAAGTACAAATCGCATAACAGTTATAATAGAGGCACTAAGCCTATACCCTTTCAACACTGTTTTTTTCTACAAATCTACTGCTTGGTGTAAGACACCGTCATACTCAAAGGTATCAAATAAAAAAGGGGGGCGGGAAGGAATAAAAAAGGGGGGGGGGGCGGGAAGGAATAAAAGGGGGGTGGGGGTGCACAAAGAGTCCAAAATCAATCAAAAGGGGGGGGGGGGGGGGAAAAAAGGGGTGGGGGGTGGCAGATTAAACCTCATACCCCTGTACTAGTAGGAACAAATCTGTTTAATTTCTCCTTCAGTGAATAAAAGAACAAGAGATCATGGAATTGTAGTGATTTTAGTAAGTTACTGTAACAACTTTTCCCATTTAGGAACAAACCAGTTTCATTGAAAAACATAAACCAATGTACAAAAGTTTTTTCAATGTACAGAATATTGAGGGTAATTTTCCATTAACAAAAAAAAAAGAAGTTTCAATCAGATCGTCGGTCATGGCAAGCTGGAAAATAATACTTACTCGATAACTTGCGGGTTCGGGGGTTCGAGTCGCGTGCCCAACATTGTGTCCTTGACAAAGGCACTCCACACAAATTGTCCTCACTTCACCCAAGTGGGAATGGGTACCTGGCCATAGATAGACAGCGTAAGATCTTGTCAGTATGTTAGTGTTTTAGTGCCTATAAATGGCCGCTTGCACTGTATGCTTCCCAGGAAGTTGAGGTTGTTTCAGAATGCTCTCAGGCCTTTTGGGGTAATAGTACAGATTGCGAAGCGCATAGAGCTTGCTGTTGGGTGGGGATTTGTGCTCTACAAATGCTATCCTATAATTATTACCTTAGAGTATGTCGCTTTTCTGAATGGCCTGTGGCGCTGTCTTACACTAACCAGTGAAAATACTCGGTGGATTGACCATTGAGGCAAGTTAAAACACTCGTTCAGTGCATTTTGAAAGCTGAAAAAAGTTCTATACCAATAAAATTCTTTTTTTCAGTTTTTGGTTCAGCCATCTTTTTTTCAAAACCATCTGTTATGATATTTCGTAAAATGTCCTCTATAATATGTACATATGTCGGCCTATTGATGTGTACAAATGGAAGAGACAGAGAAATGTTGCACCCTGTGATAAGATAACTCATTAACTGTATCCTCTGATGCATGTTCTTTAAGCAGTGACAGATTATCAACGCAGTTTGAAACTTTGACTAAATTATTGACGAATTTTTAAACTTTGAAGAAGTTTAACTGTTTTGAGTGTTCAAAAAGAGTGTGTGAATAAAATTCTACCCACCAGTTGCACAGAATAAAGGAACAGGAGAGACTTAAATCTATAATCCTTGAATCTCTATCTGTAACAGTTGCCACACTAAGTACGCAAGTAATACACTATTGGACATTATCATACGAACTTTTTTTCTTCTAATTAAAGGGCGCCAACCTCATATAAATGGGCAAGGGATTTTTTTTTTTTTAAGGAGCTGGCAAGATCTTAAAAATAAGAGTTTACCGATTGCATACCAGAATAATCCTGAGTGGGATTGGTAGTTCGTATTTTCATAATCTGACACTGCTGGCATGACTGAGAGAATGCTGACTTCTTTTGTTCGGTTCGGTCAGAAAAGACTAAAGGCTAACCTGGCCAGAGATAACTGTCTAACATCTTTGCTGTTGTCGTGAATTCCCCAACTCTTCTCTCATCGGTCGGTTGAAGCTGATGTTTGAAACTTTCCTGGAAATGTCTCGATTTATCTGCCTCATAATCACCCAATACGAGCATGAAATAACAGAATGCTAATCATAGATTTTGTCATACCCTGTTCTTGAATGTTGATGACATGCCTCTTGACGTTTATTTTTTCTGTTCTTATCCGTTTTATGATTTTAAAATGTTAAAACACTCAAATTGTAAGCAATACGGTCCCTTTTTAGAAACCATGAAATTGCAAACCTGATCTTACGAGCGTGAGTACAGTCTAGCACAGTAAACACCAACACGGAAAGCTTAAAATTAAACGTGGGTCAAATGGTACAATTTGCCATACCCCAACTGATTTTTCTATCTTTTTTCTTGATCAGTTAATGTAAAATATTGATGTGTTGAACACATTAGGGTGATCCCCGAAGTGCTTGAGTTTTCCATGCCTGACTGAAGATTCCTTTAAGGTTTTAAGGTACTTTATTTAATTTAAACTGTATTTTTTTAAATGTTTATTTTCTTTTAATGTTTGAAGATTTACAATAAAGATTGTTTTACACTTGTTCATGACAGAAAATGTGATTTATAATTTGTTTTGATAATGTAATTATGATAATTGTTTATGTCTTTGATTGAATGATTTTGCCCAACCACCTCTACCTAGTTCTAACTTCTGTGACTGTTTGCCACTACTTACTACGGTGTCATGCTGAATGATTCTCATCCGTCCACAGTGCTAAATATGTTCTAGTTGACTCATCTACTGTTGCATCATTATTTTGTTTCTCCATGGAAGCACATACTCATCTCTTCCCGCACGTTCTTGAATAATCTCCATCTTGATGCATGACACTCGATGCTCCATCACGCTATGATGTTTTTACCGTATTGTTTAATGGATATATATTATAAATGTACGATCTATTTTCTGAGATCCAAACTTACATTGCTTTTGAAGACCATCAAATTGTTTATCTTAGATCATTATTTTCTTGGCTACCTACTTTAATTATTGCATTTTCACTATTTAGCAGAGACTGAAGTATTATCACTTTCTTGCTATAGCTTGTTCTCTTTCGTTTGACCGCATAAAAAACAATTCTATCTCCTTTAGAAATTTGCCTGCACCTACAATACTTTGCATGACACTTCTGCAGGCCAGCGACCAAACAAATTTTTTTTTTTATGTTGCCCCAGTAATAAAGAAGTTTTTCTCTTAGGGTCCTTATTTATTAAAAACCGCTCTTTGGATGCATACACAGGATCCCTAAAATAAATTACCTACAGCAGCCTCACCAAAAAATTGCTCATTTTGAGACGGCGACACCCCCCTAATCCCACATTTCAGTGTAAGCTTGTAGATTTCATCCCCCGGCTGTCTAAACGTCTCTACGTGCTCCACGTGAGTCTCGAAAAATATCCCATCTCTTGAATCGTGTTTCTTAGGCGAATGCTAAAGAGTGATGTAGAGGAAAATATGTCAACTTTTCAATGTTTAAGGTGTGTGCTGTAAATCCCTTATTATTTTTTTGGACCCGCTTTAGGCATACATCAAAGAAATCGTGGCAGAACGTTAGTTTGCAGAGACGTTCATGAATGGACTTTTAGATTCTGTTGATCGCTCAACTTTTAGACGTGCACGCAAAAACCTAGAAAGATTAAAAAGAGTGATTTGTTTCTATCCCGTTTTAACCACGGTCAGACGAAAGTGAACGAACTTTACAAATGTGTGACAAATATTGTCGCTGCTACCAAGGCTTTCTTTCATTCCGAAATTCTGAGAAAAATATCTTTTCTTTTTATGAAAGGCACAGAATCTATTTGAATTTGTCAGGGAAACAGTAATGGGTCTAAAAATAATGGGGGGGGGGGGGGGGGGGGGGGTGTCTAAGTCAAAATATCAATATTAAAATTCTTCCTTGGGAACTATGCCATTACTACTGCTGATTTACGTTATCTTTTAAAATATTCTTCCTTTGGGCTTCCAGAAAACCTTATTGTGAAAATATATATATAATGGAATATGATGTTAAATAAATAGGGGCCTATGTAAAACCACAAAAGGGGGCACTGAAATTGTGTACTGGGGAACATAAACAATATTAATTGTTCAACATCTTATTATTATCTCAGAATTGAACTTTTATTTACTCTTTAGTTTTGCACACAAACAAGTTTAGAGAGTAAAAGTTGAAAGGTCATTTCTCACTTTGTTTTCTGTATGCCTTAACGCTTGCTCGTAATTTCTCTGTACTTTCAGTGCCAACATCGGATGAAATAACTATGACTCCTGAATCTTCCCCTGAGTAAGACTTTGTGTTGTTTAGATCGAAGAGCTAGTTGGTCCAAGGTCAAAAAGTGGCCGTATTTTAGTGGGTATGCAAGATCATTAAAATTAAAGATCTAGCAAGTAATTGGACTAAGAAATCTGGAAACCATTTAAAAGCACACATGATGTCAAAGAGGTATTTTGTAATAAAATTTACCTTTTTTTTTTTCTTTTTTTTTTTGAGGTTAGCACATATTTTTAGGTATAACGTTATGCACCGCGGTTTTCTGTAGGTGCTGAAGAATCTGGGGTGGTTTGCTCCTTCTTTCTTATCAAACTTCTGTGATCCTTATCTGCCCTCCTTCCTTTTTGTGTCATTACTTTCTTGAAGCACCTCTAATACATATATTATGACCTTAATGAGTTGCTATTAAGTGCCTTAAAGACTCTTACCACAACTGAACTCAAAACTCAGAGGTCCCGTCTCTTAAATAACCTAATAGTGTTAATAGAGGTATAAAACCTACTAGCTGGGTCCACTTTCGATGAACGGAATGACCGGTGCATTAACATCAACTGAAAGTCATTGGCCTATTATATTTACACTATACTGGAATGGAGCAATAAATCTTGAGAGATGCAAAAAATTAGAAGGTCTAGATCAAGATCTATACTCTCAAAACAAAATGCGCCTCGCAAAATATCACTTCCGCACCAGGTTTTCTAAAATTACAGAGACAGAAGCGTCGGCCTACAAAAGCGATCGGCGAAATAAGGAAATTTAGCTTTTGGCAGCAAAATTGTCTCAAAACTGAAAAAACGAAGGACGTCATGATCTGGAGAATATTTTAAAGAATCTTTTGGCGAAAACCGCAATGTCGATCAATGCAGCCATTAAAAAACTTTTTGAATAGCAAAATTGGGCCACCACAAATAGATAATAGACATTGTATGACCATTTTCCCAGATTGGCCAAGAGGTCGTGGTTCGGAGGTCTGATGGGCATGGAACAAGAGCACCACTTCGTCATGGTGCGGGAGAAGAGTTTCTCACAGGTCAAGGCCGATCTGGTGCACGCCTTCCTGTCTGTAAGTCTAAACGTGACGTTTTTTTGTGGGTGGTTGACGGGTGCTCTGGTGTGGTTTGCTTCTTCTTTCCTATTAAACATCTATCCTCCTTACCTCCCTCTTCTTCTTTTTTATGTATGTTACTCTCTTGTAACACCTCTAATTTTCTGGCGCTCATATAACCTTATGCTGTTGCGAGCACCGTAAAACCTCTACTAAAACTAAAAAAGACGTCTTTTTTTTTTCTCATTCTGTCTTTTTTCTCCTTCTTTCTAGTTTCTCCTTCGTTCTTTAATCATTTTCCTCGTTCTTTCCCTCTTTCTTTATTCTTTCTCTTTTTCTTTATTCTTTCTCTTTTTTCTCATTCTTTCTTTAATCATCTTCCTCGTTCTCACTTTGTTTTTTTCTTTCTCTTTTTTCTCCTTTCTTTATTATTCTTTTTCTTTGCTTTATTCTTTCTCTTTTTTCTTATTCTTTCTATTCATTTTCCTCCTTTTTTGTCTTTGCTTTATTCTTTCTCTTTTTTTTTCTCATTCTGTCTTTGTCCTCATTCCTTTCTTTCATTGTCTTCCTCATTATTCTTTTTACTTCATCATTTTTTTCCCCTCATGTTCTTTTCTCTCATTCTTTCGGGGCTTTTCCCCTCACTTATTGTTGTGCGGCATTCATTGCAGACGTGCGACCTGAGCCACTGCGTGGTTTCCACGACGACCTTCAGAGGGGAGTACCGGCGGGGCGGGGGCTCCTCCATGTTTTCTCGCAACGTGCGCTTTCAAGTGGACATCAGCCCGGCTCCTGGTGAGCGGGACACGGCGTCTGCCACCACCTTCTGCTTGACCTTCACACTTGTCTCAGGTACGTGGGCAAACTCAAGGTCAAATTTGTTTTACCTACAATAATAATATACGGTCACTTTTAAGCACAAGGGGCTATCCCGTAAAATGCTGTTTTGAGAAAATCGAAAGTCGAGTTTTTGCCCCTTGTTCAGTTTCTTTAAAAGACAAGGAGAGTTTTCTCTATAACCAAACAAATATACACACCAATGAAACCAAACTTCTCCTATAGGTAGGGCAATGCCCACTTTTGGTGTAGGTCAAGATTTCTGGAAACCATTGAAATCTGGGTTAGCCGGCTTGTCCTTAAATTCAACCAAATAATCCTTTTATAACCATTGTCTTTTCTTCTTCTTATGCTCAATTTGGGAGGGGGAATTGAAGGAAGGAAGGAAGGGGGGGGGGGGTTAGGTTTAACACTTTACCTCCTTATCTCGCCGATTGGCGATGTTTACCAATCAAAATATGATGACAAAGTTTACCGCCCCGTTTCTTTGGATTTTCCTCAAAACATGATGGCAAAGTGTTGAAGGGGAAGCGATTCACTTTAAAGCCTAACGTGTGTTTTTAGGTTTGATATGGTGACCTATTGGGGTTATAACTTGTGTGTATATTTCACAGTAGCTAGTGAGTTCTATAGGACTCAGCATCTGCCTCATCACATGATGGGCTCTAACATGGTCAGCTCGCCCAATATGTCTCTGAGAATTCTTTAAATTATTCTTGTCCAGACTTTCTGAAATAGTATCCATCCATGTTTTGGGTCACGACGTGGTGGAATCAGGCACTCGTCATTTTGGGGGCTTATAGATTTTTTAATATCAACTTAAAGTTTTTTAATTTGTCTTGCATTTGGCGGAAAAAAATACCAATCTATTTTGAAAAGCAGTCGAGATTTTTGTGATTGAAGAGGGTAGGGTGACCTGGTATGAGAGGTCGAGTTAAAGGGAAAATTGCTGCCAAATTTTGGTGACTTCCAAACCTTGAGTATTTACATTTACTTTTTTTGTGTGTCCTTGATAAACGTATCCTGGTAACATCCACACAGAAATGTGTTTTTGAATTAACATAAAAGGTTTTGAGTTGTTTTTTTAAATTTGAAAATAAATTGCCCAACGTCTAGAAGAATGCAGTTTTCTTTGATTTAATTGTTTTTTTCTGGCGCCTGATTTCAACACCCTGCCTCACATATTCATGTTTTTGAATTACCTTTTCTTCTAGATTTTATTAAAGCCATTGGCCTTTTTAGTAAAATATAGACAGTTTTATTTTAATCAAAATGTAAATTGTTGTTTTTAAAACTGAAATCTTTAACCTTTTAACCTAACCATAATACAAAAATCAAGCCGTGCTGTGAACTGTTGTTAAAATGCAACCAACGTGTGTTTCGCGCTCTCATATGACCTTATAAATTACAGTAAAATGCTTGCTAAACTAAACTAAAATATATTATAATATATTATGTAGGGCCTACTATACAGGCAGAATTAGTTATGTCCAAGGGGGGGGGGTTAGAAAATTATGTAGGGATTAAGCTTTGAGGTTCAAATTTAGAGATCTGTTTCTTAAATTTCATTACAATCTGTTTAACTTGCTACAATTACTTACATGATTTATCACCTGACTATCTAAAACAGTTTTTAACACCCTATGTGCCTCCTAGAACGCTCAGATCATCAAGTGACAAAACAACCCTTGTTAAGCCTAAAATAAATTACAAATCATGTGGCCAACGCTCTTTTTCATATTTCGCCTCACTTGTCTGGAATAGGCTTCCAAAAACTATTAGAGAAGCAGAAAATCTAGAAATTTTAAAGAAAAAACCTAAAAGCATTTCTATTTTCATCATATTTCGATTACACAGAATCCATCCAAGCTGTAGATCGTCATGAGTTCGTATGTGTGCATATGTACGTATGTGTGTATGTATGTGTTTATGTGTGTGTGGGTGCGTGCATGCATGAGTATGTGTGTGCGCACGTATGTAATACTATTTGCTTATAAAATTGATTAGTAATTCCATAATATGTATCATGTTAAGCGCATAGAATATTCCATAAGTGGATAGGTGCTATATAAATGCAATCCATTATTATGATTATTTTGACCGGAGCCTGACTTCCCCATGACATCTCTCAATTGTCTTCCCCCGCCTCCTCCTCCCGCCTCCTCCTCCCGCCTCCTCCTCCCGCCACCTCTTCCCGCCTCCCACAGGTCCATCCCGACGGTTCCGCCGCGTCTGCGAACATTTGCAGACTCTCATGTCGTCACCCAGGGGGGAGAACCACCGGAAGATCAGCACAGACAGCACCGTGTCCTACTGCTCCGAGCTTGTCCCGGCGTCCTACTGTTCTTCCGCAAAGGAAAATGGAGATGCAGACGTAAGTCTTTGTGCCCAGTGCACGCTGATACATTTGGTCAAATCATCCAATAATTATTGATTAGAATCAAATGTGTGTGTTTTTGAAAGATTTATAAATTAGTTATTTTTCGCAATCCAAGAATGAAAATATCGGCTGAAAATCTCCGCTGGGATCTGAAATACAGATTTCTAATTGATGCCATTTTCTTCAAGTCTACCGTGTCTTTTATTATTCCACAATATAAAAAATCATTCTGACAGACTGCTATGCAAAGCGTACAGATCGGATTAACGAGTAATTTCCTCTTTAGAAAGTGGTGGCACAGAGTTCCCCACGTCGTATGGATACGATAGTAGGTCTTCCATCTTTCCTTTCCATCTGTTATTTTTGTCCGTCTGTTTTGCTTCTCTCTCTTGCCCTTTTTAACTCCCCGTGGAGCGTAGGCCATCAACAACATTTCTCCAGCGAAGCCTGTCCTGTGCATCCTTTTCTAGCTGTTTCCATGATGTCCCCACCTTTTCCATTTCCACTTGTACCGCTCACCTCCGTGTCATCTTTGGTATTCCTTTTTTACTTTTTCCTTGTGGATTCCACAAATAAACAGAGCAAACATCCATTATTTATGTTTCAATGTTTTAATTTCAATTCCTGTTGTTTGGGATTTTTTCCATCAGAATCACGACAGAGAGCGGAAACCTCCTCTACCGCCTCGGAACCGAGACATGGCCAAACCTCCGAGCAGAAAAGCTCTCGCGGAGAACCTGAACAGAGACAAAGTTTGACAACACGCAGATTTCCCTACTTCACTCGTACACTCAGATGTGCCCGGCGCGCTGCGGCGGTGACCGGGGAGAGGGCCACGCCTAGTCGCGACAGCTCTTTCTGCTCTCTTCAACGTCAGGGAAGAGAAAGGGGAGGGAATCTCCTCTCGCCCCACCCCCACCCCCACCCCCACGCGAGCATTAGATCCCACTATTTGTTTCTGTGACAAGGAACAACTTATCCTGTGAGGAGGTAGCAAGGTGAATATTTGCTCATGTTTTCGTGTTGATGAAGAGGAATTCCCCCATTTGAATTTACCCTTTATGCAACAAAGAATGTACATCATTTGAAGGAGATTCCAGATTGCTGTGTGTTAGTTTATTATCCATATGAAAATTATTGTATGATATTGTACGAGAAGTGAAAGTGATGAGTGGAGTGTATGAAGTAGGAGTTTCAATGTTACGTGTGCTTCTTGCGTGGAGACCTTCAGGATTGTCAAACAATCATAAGATACATAACTACACAAACATCTCTTTCAAATTGTCTGTAAATTTGAGCTTTATGGAAAAAGTTACAGATAATTTGAATGAAAGACAAGCTTCTCCAGAGCTTTGAAAAATAGGGAACTGCTTTAAAGTGTCCAAAGAAATATTTGGTTGAGTTGAAGCGAGATGTTGTGTATAACTTGCGAAAGATTTTTTGGCAATCTTGAATGAACAACTGTTTTTGAAAAGTTGTATATATAGACATGTGTGAAGGGTCCGGTGGACAAATGGAAATATCGTCAGAAACTGAAAATCGTAAGCGTATCATCAATTTTTGTTTTTGTAAAGTGTTTTACGGCGCTCGCAACTGCATAGGTCATATGAGCGCGTGCGACACACCTAATATTTTCAGTTGGTAGGAAATTTTGAATTTTGCCCGGGTGGCGGCCGAAGCCTACTCTTATCGATTTTAGACCACCAAGGGATCTTTAACGTGCGCAACTTGCACACGGGCCCTCCGAGATTTTTCGCCTTTGTCCGAGAAGGCTAGGTGTAGATCTTTCCTACCAGAAGATCAGGGGTGTGGCAGAAAGACAGCAGTAAGGAGGAGCCAAGGAGTAGCAGTAGAAAGGCTGCAGAAAGAGCCAGGAGCCCAGAGGAGGGGGCAAAGGAGGTGAGGGGGTGGGGGCAGAAAGTGGAATTGAAAGCAGACAACAGAACATTGCTAGAGGGCAGGAAAGGAGGTGAAAGGAGACAATTTTAGAGAAGAAAATTTTTCGGTCGCTACCCGGATTCATACCCGGGACCTTTGAATGAGAGGCCAACACCTTAACCTCTAGGCCACGAGAGCCCCCTATCAATTTTTAGAGCTGCAGATGAATGACTAGTTTTGTTCCGCTGCTGGTTGATTATTGTTTGATTTCCCATTAATAATAATAAATAATAAATATCATTTGTATAGCGCAGGTCCCCACTCGACAGCAAGCTCTATGCGCTTTACACTATATCATTACCTCAGTAGACCATAGAACACTCAGAAACATTCTCAGCTTCCCGGAAAGCATACATTGCAAGCAGCTGGTTAAGCGCTCAAACACTAACAAACTGACGAGATCTTTCACTGTCTATAGCTGGGTACCCATTATCTCCTGGGTGAAGTGGGGAAAATTGGTGTAAAATGCTTTTCCCAAGGACACAACGTCGGGCCTGCGGCTCGAACCCCCGAACCCGCAACCTCACGATTACGAGTGCGGTAGCCTAACCACTAGGCCACTGACGCCAATCAACTAACAACAATGATAAATCATAGGTGGGTTAAACAGACAGGATGTTATGAGACTACAAGCTTTGAAAATGGAGACTCTCACAATTTCCAGTTTGTGACTCTCTCTCGATTTTCCACGGGACCTTTCATATGCCTTGCGCAAGAGCTGAAGTTAGTTTTTTTATTAGTCTTTCCCTTTAAATGGTCTGGGAAAGAAACATTTTCTTACAACTTAAACACCTGGTAGATGGATGCAATGTGCAACTCCTGTTGATGTCTATGTTCGTGTATGTTTCAGATCTGGGAATTTTGTGAACTTTTTCAAGGTTGAATGTTTTTTTCTTCTAGACAAAAAGGCGCAGGTGCAATACAAGTAGCATAACTAGTCATCTTTCTGCTGCCCTTCAGTTTCATTTTCCTGCCAGACTGAGCAAATGCGTAATTTATATTTCCCTTTGTCTTACTACATGTGAAGTGTGCTTGATGTGCAAAAGAATTCAGTTGGGAGTTCTGTCTCGTCGTTAGAATCTGACCAGGCATGGGCAAGCTATGGCCGGTGGGAGAGATCAGGTCCACAAATAATTTCAGTTGGGTCTACAAATCGACCCTGTAGATAAAAACGAATGTAGCCCTCAGTAAGTTGATAATAAATACAACAACAACAAAAAACTGTCCATCTTGAAAATTAAAATTCTATAGATTCCAGCCCAGCTGAAAGTAAAAGCACGAAATGTCCTTGAGTGACACATATCGCTACAGTGTCAGTTTTGTCTCACTTTGAGAGCTTCGATATTTCAACCGATATCATCCACCTTTCTCCTGCTGCTTTGACCCGTGAAATATGCAGCACCTCACAGTCTGTCCCACGACCGGCCACACTTGCCCCTGCCTGCGAGTGAGAGAAAGCCTTACTGTTGGGGCCCGTCTCCATGGTCATAATTATATGTGTCACGGCGCGGTGGAATCAGGGGCTCGTCAAATTTTGGGCATGTAGAGTTATTGGTATCATCTTAAAGCTTGTTCATTTGCCTTGCTTTTGGTGGAAAAAATTATGAATATATCTTGAATTGAATTCCAGATTTGGTGATTGAAGGAGGCGAGGGTGGCCTGGTTTCAGAGGTAAAATTAGCTAGAAAATAGCCGCCAAAGTTGAGTAATTTCCATAGCTTGAGAGTCCTTTGAAACGGAAAATTTACAGATTCTGTGCCTTTAATCAACGTTTTCCAGTAAAATCCACACAGAGATGTATTTGTAAATGGACATAAGAGGTGTTGAGCAAAATAAAAATTCGAACAAAAATAGGCCAATAGCCAGAAATGCCAGTTTCTTTAATTTCATTATTTTGACAAGCGCCTGATTTCACCACGATGCCTCACATATGCAGGGCTGAGAGATTATCTTACGAAAGCCTATCAGTTTTATTGTTATACGGTTACATTATTATTATTATATCCCTTTTGACTTTCAGGGACGAGAGTGTTGTTGGAGCTAGTCATTTCCCTTCACTTCCTCGTATCTTTTATCATCGTTGGTGTGCAATTTTTCACTTTTTGACAGTGAAGAGAGAAAAGTTAGAATGGTTGAAAGGAAGTCTTCAGAGTTTTAATTAAGTGGAGCAAGTCAAAGCCAATTCATGTGCCAAGTTTGTGGTTTGTTATATATGAGACATTCTACAAAGAGTTCAATTGAGCCACTTGTCAAAACAAACACACTTATAGATGTTTTGATTCTGTCAGTTTGAGTTGTGATACCTGTGCGTAACGGTGAAGAATAAGCTGGGAACTTAGTTATATTCATATTGAAAGAAATTGAGTTCCGTTTTTTTTTAAGGTGGGTTTTTTTTTGTCTGTCATTATGAGGAAAAAATTATAAAAGTTTATCCAAAAAATTATGGAAAATAAATTAGGTTTCCCTCTTTTGCATAAGTTAAATATGGGTCTTGTTCTGAAAAATGTGTCTATTTTTAGTTGACACGATTTTGTTTTTTAATGGGACATGAACTTGCAATTGACTCAAATATGACAGGCTGAGTCAGCGAGTGGAAGATATTTATAACTCAGTCAGGGAAACAGAGATATGCCATCCAAACAGCTAGACGATTTATAGTCTATTTCCTTCTGTTTCTGAAATGGGATGACATCTGATAAAAACATTTTATAGTTTTTGAGTTAAAATTCACCTCACATATTAAGACTCCTTTGGGACTGCACTAGCTGTCAGTTAATTACCGACTATGACCCAGAGTAGAGTGTGGTTCGGGATCCAGGAAAAGGCGTTTACTTGGAAGTTATACTTTAACGATTGACTTCTGATTGCATTTACTTTCATCAAAATATCTTATGCAAATCATATCAACAGTTTTAATTGGTCCTAAATTACTCAATGTTTCACGTCTAAGAAAACATTACCATACTCATTCTTTATTTCAATTCAACAAAGACATAATTTATATCAAGTTTTCATTTTAAATGCCAAAAAAACGCACTCTATAAACATGCCTTTCTTTAATTAGTTTATCGTTTGATCGGCGTCTTCGCATTAAAAAGAACAAAGAATGAAAAAGAAGCTTTTTAATTTATTTTAAATGAAACACTGAAGCGATAGACTGACAAATGATATTTTTGACAAATCAAAAGCAAATTTTGAGAACAACAGACTAGGTGAAGTTTTGGGAATAGCAGGCTAGGTGAAGTTTTGGGAACAGCAGGCTAGGTGAAGTTTTGGGAACAGCTGGCTAGGTGAAGTTTTGGGAACAGCAGGCTAGGTGAAGTTTTGGGAACAGCTGGATAGGTGAAGTTTTGGGAACAGCTGGCTAGGTGAAGCATTTTCCCATTCATTCCCTCTGTTTTTGTCAATCGGTAGACCAATAAAATAATCAATCTCGTGAAGAGACAGTCGATGTTACATTGTGGATGGAAATGGAGAAATATGACATAAGATTCAGTTTGCTAAATGTGTCACAGCATTCAGGAATCAGGCGTTGGTCGATGTTTAGGTACCGGTGTGAGAAGTTATTATATCAGAATAAGCCTGCTCATTTGTCTAGCTATTGATTTTTTAAAAAACATTTTTGTGCTTTGTAGAAATGGTTTCCAGTAAAAATCCATGCAGGAATGTGTTTTTGAATGGACACACAAGTTGTTGAGCCCAAAACAAAAATTTAGATAAAATTTTTCCGATGTGTAAAAAAATATTGATTTCTTCGATTTCAATATTTTGATGAGCGCCAGATTTAATTAAAACCCATGTATAGCAAAACTCGTACACAACGAAAAGATTTGGGCACCTTTCCGACTTGGCTGTGTGCAGTGTACATGCTAGTGCTAGGAGACTCGTAGACAGTAGAATAATGAACATTTCAACTTGCTACTTCTGCCTGCTGTTTTGAATCAGAGAGAAAAATATGATTTTGAACCTCAGAAATTCCGAATTCATGTTCCTAGTCGTGGCATAAACCTTAAAATATCATGGGGGCAAAAAAAAACGTTGGTAACAACCGACTTTCGAGGGAAAATATTACAAGAAGGTGGGGGGGGGGGGGGGGGGGGGGGTGGGGTTGTATAAAATAGTTTGTGTACTAATTCAAAATTAACTCTAGCATATTTTGTATAGATATAAGATTTATGCATTGAGTGTACTAAGATAAGAAAAGTTTGAATGGAGGAACTAAGACATGCATTTCTCCTAAACTGTTATTTTTCGTTGTTCATCTCCCAAACTGATGCACCATCAATGTCTGCGGGTTTTGACTGTGACTGCAGCGTCTTCATGGTGAGATTCACACTCACACCGCTGCATTCTTCTACAGTGATGTTTTATTTTCTTTCATCATTAGAGGCCATTATCAGTTTTTAGTAAGAGTTTTACAGCACTTGCAAAACAATAAAGTCATATAAGTGCCAAAGAATAGATGTGGTTCAAGAGAGTCTACCTACTAGAATGCTGGGTTTGATCCAATCAGAGATCAGGATTGTAAAATGGAGGTTGCACCTCTTTCACGTAGCCCAACAGTGCTGAAAAAGACATGAATAATATTATATAATAAATCCAAACACTGACCTATGAAAGTATCGCAGTATGAAGACAGCACTTTGCGAGTATGTTGTAGCTATGCTAATCTCACCTTAATCACTA